ATTGTTATTTAGAAACCACTGTAGCATGTACCTGTGGCCTACAGTACGAGATAAAAAAGTACTTAGCACAGCAATTCCTGAAAACATTCACCAAATTGTGTTTATACCATTCTTGCATGCATTTTTATCCAAACATTTGCACTGCCAATGCAACAGAACCAGCAAAGTGGGATAATTCTCTGCACAGCTACCAAGTGGGGTCTGTGTTTAGGAGCTTCCCATGTTCAGACTTTGCTCACAGGTAACAAACATTGTGTGAGCAGTTGTAATTTAGCCAACACTTCTTTGTGCAGGGTGGATGTAAAACACAGCTCAGGTTAAGATTATATTCCAGATTCACAGAAGATTTGAGGTTGGAAGGCACCCATGGGGATCACTGAGCCAATCCCACAGGGCTGCCCAGGGCTGGGTCCTGCCAAATCCAAGCATGGAGTGTCAGCAGCCTCTGGGCAAACTGCTGGAGGGCTCTATCTCCCTCACAGTGGGGAAAAAAAGGTTTTATTACCTTCCCTGCATTTCAGTTTGTGCCCATTATGAGGACATTGGAAAGAAAATCTCTTCTAAAAATTAGGACAATTGATACAGAAACCAGAGACACAGAAAATTGGACCATCACAGAACTTCCCAATTTTTCAAACCTTTTAGCTTCTTACATACTTGAAATCATACAATCTATATAAAGATTTATATTGAAATACTCAGTTATATGGTCCAAAGAAATGTGATTCTTGTTGCCAAAGATCCCTCCTGGTTTTATATATATTTACAGAGAGCTAAGAGTGTGTGATAATTTTTCTTATTGATAAAAATGTGATTAAAACACAACTGCACTTGTTCTAACCAGCTTTGTTTATCCATAGTGAACCAATAAGTGCAAATAAATGTTCATTTAGTAAGTATTAGCAGGAAGGCCTTCACCAGCCAGCAGATGTAGCAATCTAATTCAGCAGTGCCAATTCTTGATTTAGGTACTGCTCCACATGGACTGAAAATTTATCTTCTGATGTCAATTTTATTACTGCAAAGAATTTTTTATTCAGCATGTAAACTGACAAATTAGCAGAGTCAGAATCTATTTTTTCTATTAAGACATGAAAGTGGACTCTAAGGGAAACTCTTTGACCAATCCTGTGACTGAGCCAACACAGAATCAAAACTGAAAAAGACACAAACTGAGAGTACAAGTGGTAGAGACTGACAAAAGAAAAAACACATCAATGACAGTTCACAGCACAAGGATTCAGAACAAGAGACACTTCCACGAGTCACAAGGAGCATTTGATACCACAATGGGAAGAAATGTAGCAAACCCATCACATCATTGTACTGCAAACTGTTAGCTGAGTTTCAAAATAAAAAAAAAACTCTTTCCTCTGTAAGAGTGCCAGGCTGTTTCATATAGATCAATGTAAATGTTCTTCCTTGTCAGATCTGTGCCTGACTGTATGGAACCACTGCCCTTGAAAGGGAGGAATTCCCAAAGGAACAAACAATAAAAATTGTAGGCAATATTCATTAACAGTGGATTCAGTCTTGGAGATATTAATCTTATGTTCTGCTCACCAAAATCATATTTTAAGATCACAATCAGGTCTTAAAAGTGATTAATTAAAACTGACCCTAAAATTTCTATCCATAGGATGCCTAATGAGACAAACTTCATGGGATTTTTCATTTGCACACTGAAGCCTGGTCACGTAATTTTGGAGTGAGAAGAAACTCTATAAGACCAAATAATTATTTTTATTTTACATTTCATTGCTTCCTAATGTCATCTTATTGCAAAGCTCCCATACCTTCTTGGTGATTTCTCACGGACAGCTCCTCACAGCACTGACTCCTCCTTCCTCACAGCCCGGCCAACAAACTCCAACTCCCTCCTCACCCCGCTCACCCACTCTTTTATAGCACTCATCCTCATTGGACACAGCTGTGCCCTGTTAAGGACAGGCCTGTTCCTAATCTTTGGTGATTAGCACAGCTGCAACTCCTCAGGGGAGAGATTACCTTTGGCACTATCTTCATTTTCTTACGTTCTACCCCCTCACATCCTAACAGACAGATCTAATGCTCTGGAGATTTTTTATGCATATCAAGACTGTAATTTTTTTCCCCAGACTGAAGTACCACTACTGCCTACAGCACAGTCCTAGGATAATAACTCAATGTTTTGTAATTACTCCTTCACTGATAAAGATGCAACTAACTGTACATACATTTGTGCTACAGAGAAAAATTAAATATATCAGAATTTCTGTATGTATTTACAGTGTTTTATCATAAAATATTATTAAACCTAACAGGATATAGTAATTGCAAGTACAGTACAAAGGTTACAATTGATTAAAGTAATAAACAATTCACAGACTCCAAGATATTTCAGATCTCCTGTTGATGAAGCTCAAAATCCATTATGGAAAGATAATACTGGAGAAGTTGACAATCTGAAGTGGAACTGAAATGCATTTTCTTTCAGATGCTTTTTAAACCCCCAGAAGTGCCAGGTCATGACTCTCAGATAATAAAGGCCATGGAGAGTTCAAATAGTCTAGAAATGATGGCACTTTCAGACACTGATAGAAGGAGCACATTTTAGAAAGATTCTTTTTATTAATTTAATGCTGCTGCTGTAGCTGCAGAAGAGTCTGATATCTCAGTAGTAAAATGCATTAAAAAGCCATTTTGTCTGCTGCTGTAGATGAAGAATGTAGTTATTTTGCTCAACAGCTGAATTTTTCCAGAATCCCACTAGTATTCCCTGAGAAAACCATCTACTCTAGCCAAGAGAGAATGCTGATACACATGTTATATAAGAAAAAGTTCTCAGGAAATAATTCACAGATACATGTAGGAACAGAATCTCTGCCATAATGTCCAGATATCACAGAACATTCCAGTCCATTGTCTCATACAATGTGTTAAGAATTATGAAATTGCCAAACTTAAAAAAAAACTTCCAAAAATAAAGGTTTTTTGCCACCTGTGGAACACCCACACCAGGGTTAGCAGCAGTGCAGTGCATCACAGAGGTGTTTAGGAATGGGTGATAAATAGTGTTGGCCAATTTCTTTCAGCAAATCTCTCTTTAGAGATAACTGCATTATTTTGTAACACAATGCTTCACTAACTAAATTGTACCCATAGAATGTTGGAACTTAAATGTGCTCTCAATAAAACTTTGCTCTTTCTGTGAAATTGATTGACTCTCTCCCTACATTACATTTATTAGAAGAAATAGAGTTGGAAGTTTTTATAACAGGGACATGGTGCACACTCAGACTTGTGCAGCAGTGGCAGAACCCATTATAGGAATTGTGATTTTAATCTGGTCCCGTGCAGGTCCCCATACCTGGCACTTCTTTTAATGAACAGAAACACGAGATGTAAATTCTACTTACACACTTAGATAAAACTAAGCATCAGAAAGCAATTGTTTAGGGCTGAGGAGTAAGAGGACACTTTTCTCCCCTCCTGCTTTAGACATAAGTGGCCAGGAGATTATAAATATACTGTTCTGGAAATGTCATTTCTCAGAACCAAAACATAGTGTAATGAATTGCTTCTGTAACAACAGTGTATTAAGATATTTTTAAAAACACAGGAGAAGGAGTATAATGGCACTTACAATTACATTTTAAAATTGCAAATGCATTTGGTATTTGCCCCCCTCTTCTTTAAAAAACAAAACTAATTACAACATATTACAACCACAAAACTAATTACAACAGATGACTTATTTTAAATTGCTCAACAAAGAGCTACACATGGGCACCTCAACTGGAACTTTAAACCATCTCCATCTCTCCATTTCTCAGCTCTTAGTCAAATTCTAGACAATAAGTTCTTAGGGAGCAAAAGACAAGTCTCTTAAGAAGTTTTCCCCACAAAAATCATTTCACCATTTATAACACCATCAGCAAGATGTCTCATCAAATTGATTTCAAATCCACAGAAAAATTGGAAACTCATGAATGCCACGAAATGTATCTTGGCATTCTTCCACTCATCTATTACATTTTCTAATAAATAGAGCTTTCTTGAAATGCAATTTCAACTTGAAAATCTGACACACTCTACAAAAGACCAGGCAATAATACAACTAAATATGTGTGCTGTGATGAAACAAATTCATTTGAAATTGGTCTTGAAGCTGCAAATGAATCCACCCATGGGTTCACAGGCATGGATGCACAATCCCTGTGCAGAGGCTCCTGGACAGCAAATTTCACATGAGGACTTACTGTAAATGAGTGTTCAACCTATACATAATTTGTAGAGGTGTAGGACTGACAAACCATTACACTGAAAAATTACTGGTGAAAGAACACGATTTTCAAAAACAAATTTTCATTAGTATTTTTTCCTAAATAGTTTTAAATATTTACAAATACATGAAGAAATGAGTTTAAAGGGAAAAGGGACAGCTTTACCAGATTATAACCCTTGTGATGGTATATCAAAGTTTAACAGACAACTGTTATTTCTGGACATATTCAACTTGAACATTAATGAAATCAAACATGCATCAGCAGACTGCAAAATTCAGCTAAAAAGAGCTCAACAGCTTGACTTTTTTATTTGGTTAGTAAGGACCCTAATAGTGCTCTACCCCCATCCAAAACAAAGATTAAAAAATAATAGAAACCCCACAGAAGCAAAAAAAAAAAAAAAACCACAAAACTAAGGAAGACCAAATAAAATAAATTGAAAATACCTAATGTTTAAAGAGCATGTATTGATGCAGATTTTAAAGTCATTAGATGTTTCTGAAAGCTTTACACTGTGATTTTCATTCAAAATCCCCATTTAAATAAACAAAAATAATACTGTTTCTCATATATTTCTTTAAATATAAAAAAAGCACCTGCAATCTGAACAGGAGCCTTCTATTTTCAAAAAAGCACTGATTTAAAGATTTGGGAGATGCTGGCATTATATTTTAAATTAATCTGTGATGAAAAAAAACTTAACATTTTCTTGAGTACTTGACAGATACTTACAGAAAAAAGGGCATCAGCTGAATAAGTGTCTCTTTTTTGGGATTGGCTGTGAATTCTGGCACAGTTTGAATAATTTTGTTCATTACATTCCTTAGGTAATTTTGTAGCTGCTTGCGTCGCTCTTCTACAAACTTTGCATCCTAAAAATAGAGAGGAAAAAATATAAATGGCACAAAGAACATGTTTCTCAACTTCATCATGTAACTAAACAGTCCTGGTAAGCATAAAAATCGGTATTTTGAAGATCTCTGTTATTATGGCTATATAAATATGTTGGCAATATGCAAAGACCCCTTGACTCTGTCCTTAGAGATAAAGGAAAATCATGAATCCTAATAAAACCTGTGTCACAAAAACATCCACTGACAGGATGTCAGATCCTCTCCCTGGCAGAATCTGTCTTCTCTGGACCATAAACCACTGCAATCTTAGAGAGGCAGAGCAGCACAGCAGCACAGAGGCTGTGGCGTAAAAATTTATGCCATGTTTTTTGAGATCCAGAATCACCAGTCTTTGCAGGAGGAAATGCTGACTTACTCCCACAATGTCACCCCCAATTCACACTTTTCAGATGTTGGGTTCACAAACTCCAGACTGGACAAGTATTTGTCCAGTATTTTTATGTTATTAAATTATAATTTTGTGATGATGTCTTCATATAGTAGATTTTTTTAAAATATTATATCACAACTCTCATTAAAATGCTTTACTGAAGTTTCTGTAGCATTTTACATCCAGGATTTTATACTCTGTTGGCCCAAATAAATAGAATAGTTCTATAAAGTCCACGTTCTGCTGATGGACCTAGAAGTGAAAACTTTATCACAACCAGCAAGATGCCAGGCATCCCATAACTTCCATGTCATTGAAACCTTTTCCCTGTGAGAGATGACAATGACATGGACTATAATCTAAAGGTGCCACATTTCCCAGGAACAGGGAACTCTCCCAGGTTCACACTGCCATCAGGTGCTGGATGCTTTATGCTCTGTCTCAGGCAGGCTGGCACAGCTCACCTGGTTAAATGGCACAGGATGTTCTTCAGGCACACAGCCAAACCTATTATTAGACAGCTACAGCTCTCAAAAACAACCATTATCTAAAAGATGTGTCTATCCAACCTGTATTATTTATGTCTGTAAGAAAAGGAATTGAAATTAATTCTTGTTTCTTGGGGGGGAAATGAACCAAGCCGCCAACAAAACACTATAAATACATTTGACAACACTGAATAAATTCATTGTATGGAAAAGGTTCAGCCCATGCTGCCATGCAGGGGATGCAAATCTGAAGGTTATTGCTTCCCTAGATAGAACAGAACAACACCATCAAAGCAGGGATCCTCCAAGTTCAGGAGGAATTTGTTGTAGCATTCCTAGAACCTTCACTAACATTCTGTTCTGTTCTTCCCTCTCATTAGAAGTTACCAGGAACAGGCATATTTTTAGGAATAACAAATCAGACATAATTGTAGGGACATAGCAGAGTAAGATGTAAGAAACTGCTGAAGACATCCATACTTACAGACTTCAAAAACTTGAGTAGTACTTACGATGTTCAATTAAATTAATGAAATTCCAAAATATATACAGATTAATTTTAATTTTGTTTTCTACATATCAACTTACACAGATGTCCAGTCCTGTTTTAACATTCCAGTTCTACATTAATACATTCATTCAATGTATTAATGTAATGAAAAATTAATTAATGTATTCATTAATCAAATAAATGAATTCAATGGAGATCTAAGTGAAAACTTTAAAAAACTATATATTATATACATTGCTACTTCATTTTTATCAGTCACATATTCTTTCAGCAACATACACAGCAGTTGTGTTGCAAGTGATTTGAAACTCATCCTTTATTAAATCCACAAAGCTGTGGTTGGAAATCCCCCCAGGCCCCTCTGCAGGGTCACCTGCCCAGCTCCCAGAGCTGAGAGCAGCTGCTGGGACAGAGCAGAGCAGAGCCTGCCCCCTGCCCTGCTGCAAGAGGACAAATCTGTGCAACTGAAGCCTAGACAAGCTGCTGGGAACATTAAAGCAAACATTTTAATTCATGATGTCACATAATATTACCACAAAATGGGACTATAATAATAAATAAAAGTGTTCTTCAATGCTAATTAAACAATTAGCATAGAATAGCACCTATGTAACTACTTTTTTTCTTTTCACTAAGATTTTTGTTCCCACTGGATTTTTTGGTGAGGCTCAAGGAACCCTTGTGTTCCCCTCTCTCCTCTCTGAGGATTTAAAGCCCCACATCACCCCACTGGAGGGACACTCCTTTGCTGCCACCAGCTGCATGGGCATGAAGACAAGGCAGGGACTCATGGGAGATGTCTGGGAAGAAGACAAAGTTTGTGGAAGAGCTTTGGTTCTGGAAGCTTCAACCAAATGAGCAGAGGGGACATTTGGCACCTGAGCCCCTTGCAGTTGGAGCCCCCCTGCCCCAGGTGCTGCCAGGCTGTGCCATGGGCAGGACAATCCTGCTTTGCTCCAGGAGCCACTCCCAGCTCAGAGCCCTCCCAGAGCTGCCTCACCCTCACTGCACTTGTTCATTCTATTCCATAGCTGCTGTCAGTTATGTTTTCACAATAAAACCTCCATTGTTAAATACCACATTCAGCAGCTTTTTCAGTTCTGAAGTTTTTTTGGTCACAAATCTTCCACAACAGTATTTTCAATTCTGAAATTATTTCAATTATGTTTAAGTTTTCTCTTAAGCAGAAGTTGCATTCCTTTAGTATTATTTCTGTACTGCAAATGTGTTTAACAAAAAACATCTTCTTTCACGGGAAGGACTTTGTTATAGACACAGGAGCCAAATGCTGAATGTAGGTACTTTCCATCCCTTATGTTACTCTAAAGAGTCTCCTTGACTACAGAAAACAAAGGACTTTTCTAATTAAGAGTGCCAGGACATGCTTAGGGAAGGCACTTTTTGCTGTTTACAGCTGAACAAATTAATGCTCATAACATGGCTATTTTTCTGCCATTTGTCCAAGAAAAAGGCAGAACGCCCCAGAAATAAAAACCCAGCCTGAAAACAGTTAAAAATGTTCTTTTATTCTGACATGAATTTGATCTGTAAAACAAACACCAAGCAATCTACCATGAAATTCTGTACCATGTACTAAGGCTCGTTGTCCTCACCAGAAGCAATGTAAAGCAAGGTCAAAATGATTCAGCTCCAGGTCTGCACTTTATCATTAAACGTGCATTTTGCAACAGCAGGTTGGCTACTCAGAGCAATGATTTTAGCACAGAGCTGTTACTGCCAAGCTGCTGCAGTAATAAAGAGTTTTTGTCACAATATAGTAAACAGAACAACTGGTAACAGAAAAACACAACTGGTTCAAAGCCCGGCCAATTTTTTCAGTCTTAAATTACAAAAAGGTACCTATAACCTTCTTTTCATTGGGCCCAATTATCCCCAGCAGAAATCTAGGTAGTACTTTATACATTCCAACTCGTAAACAAACACCTACTTTTATTTACAAGCAAAAAATACAGGGAAATTTTTTGCTGTGGGTTTGTATCAGTGACTCCCACCTCCTACTTTTAGTATACATCTTTGGTGATTGTATGAGTTGATAGAAGCCTACATTTGCATTTGTACTCACACAGAAAACAGCAAAGATCTTCCCCTAAGGTTCAATAAACACATTTACATACACTTGATGTGAAATGTACTTTCAGGACAAAGTAATTTTGTTAAAATTATCAATATATTTGCAAGAAACCTTTGCATTTTCACATTATTAAAGGTTAGATTTCACACTTTCATTTTTAGGGAAACAAATACATACACAGAAAGATAAAGTAGCAGTACTTAAATAAAGACCCACTTTTTCACTGAAGTTTTTTAGGCATATTTTCTAAAAAATAAAGGTGCTACTGTTTCTGCACTAACTACAGTGAAAGTAATTTACTAGCCTACAGTTCAAGAGCACATAGTTTTGATTAAGAGACCACAAAATTTCAGTTAACAAGCAAAAAACTTCTTCAGATTACAGAAGCATCAAAACACATCTGGTAAAATATTTTTAATCTGCAATTCATGTCTTCCAAAATGTTGTATGAGCTTCTCTTTGACTGATAATTTTGCCACGTCTCTTCTGCCCATAGCAAAATGCTAGTATCAAATTACAAATATCTAAATATTTTAATAGATAATGGAAAAGTTACACACTCTCAACATATATTAGAAGATGATGTTAAGGTGTAAAACCAAGAAGCAGTCTTGATGCACCATATTTTATATCATGTTCTTTTGCAGTTTTTCATTACAAGCCAAGTTCATTCCCACTTGCAGTTTAAATTGTTTCACACAACTGCTGGTCTTTTATACACACTGCTAGTATGGAACAGATGGTGAAACACTGATATTCTTCATTATTAATGGGACAGCTCGCTTAAGATGTTTCAAATATTTTCCAGGAGCTTTTGGAAATGCTATGATTTCCATGGTTACCTGCCATGATTTAGGGACAGTTAAAACACTTTTAGATTCTGGGCTTGGTGCTGCTGCAATCAACATCAAACTCCCTGCTCCTGAGGTTCTAACCATCACTTAGCATTTAACCAACCTCCTGCTGGTAACACAGGGGAAAAGATAACCCAAACAACGCCAAACAACAAAACAGCTGAGGGCTCAACCCAACTCAATTAAGATAAAAGGAAATATGAAATGAAAGGAAATATGGCTTTAGGACTTTAATCAGCCTCTGATACCACACAATGCATCCCATCCTAAATGAAGCTGACAATAATGCTATTCAAAGTTGAACCTGCAAATGCAGGAATAAACTCAGGTTATTCTAATGTAGCCTAATCTTTTCCATCATTTTGGCCAACCAGTCTTAGCAAAATTATCATATCAGTTTTTATCTATTTATGAGGCACCAAATGCTAACCTCAAAATGAAGCTGGCAATCAGAAGCTGAGATGGGAGCTAATTAAATATTCAATTGCTGAGTCATTCTCACTAGTTGTAATTAAAAGTTATATAGCAAATATTCACTTTACAGACTGACACCTTTACACAGATCACAGTAAAATAAAACTTCAGTACATCTGTCCTTAAGTAGCTACTAAACATAGCATCATAAAACTTTTAGGAAGGTACA